GTTCTGAACATTCTAGTATAGATAGACTTTTTGGAGTATGGGACTATCCTCCTAGCCAAACTCCCACTGTCCTAAGGAGTTCCGCTGGGTCTCTTGACGGTTGACTTTCCTTCGCAGAAGGAGTGGGGAGAAGGACATGGCACCCTCACCTGAGTATCCAGTCGCTGCTCCCAACCGGTCCTTTGCAGTTTTCCCCTGAGGGCTGGTGGTCCTGGGAGAGCGGTTGGGGATGAAGGAGGGCTGAGTGTCTGTTATCCGGCTCTGGAAGGAAGTCGTCATTCCTGCTGGATGCAGATCTTCCACTGTGGCCGCCTTATGGTCATCTGTGTGCCTCCCCATAACCCCTCACTCATTGCTCAGGAAGGCAGCAATCTAGCTTTCCCTGGGTAAACTTTGGTGGAGTTGCACCACAAATTATTACGGAGGCCTTACGAGGAGGGGTGGGCATTGGGAAGGAATTTTAGTAACATTTTTTTAAAGTTTATCTTTAAGTGTAGTGTCTCTTAGTGTATGTGTGTGTGTGTGTGTGGGGGGGGGTGTTTGCATGACTGTAGGTGCCTGTAGAGGCCAGAAGAGGGCATCTGGTCTCTGGAGCTGGATTTGCCAGTGTTTGCGAGTTCTGCCATGTGGGTACTGGGACCTGAACCCGTGTCTTCCACAACAGTGGATACACTCTTAACTGCTGAGCCGGCTCCCCAGGCCCGATGTACAGCATGTGTATATTCTGCCATTGCAGAACTATTAACTCTAGGTGTGGGGTGTGAAGATGATGAAGGATGCTCAAGCAGGAAGCTCTGAGTAGAAAACAGCCCTGCATTTGCACCACAGACAGGGGTCAACCCACAACATCTGGCTCCGTGATTGCTTTGCTTCTAATCGCCAACCTCAGTTCTTTTTCCTTGCGAGTGTCCTTCCTTCCTTCCTTCCTTCCTTCCTTCCTTCCTTCCTTCCTTCCTTCCTTCCTTCCTTCCGCGAAGCCTGAGTGACGTTTCTAAGTCTTCCAGGGTAGACAGACTAAGGAGTGTGCGCACACCCGAGAGGCTCAGCTTCTACCCACAGGATCCCTAGGAATGGACACTTGTGAGGATCACAAAGTCCGGCACCAGCAGTTTCCGCTCCATCACTGGTCCACACAGGGGCTTTTACTCACGAGTACCATAGAGGAGCTCAGCTCCGGCTCACTCCGTGATTAAAAAGCATGCTCTCAGGAATTTTAGAAAACCTCTTACAGCCAAACCCTGGGAGGTGAAATGTCTATCCCTTGTTTGCTGACAGACTGTCTCTGGTACAGGCCTGCCACATTCTCTGGAGGCCTCCAGTTGATCAACCATTGAGACCTGCCTTAAAAAAATTGCTTCTGGGGGCTGGAGAGATGGCTCAGAGGTTAAGAGCATTGCCTGCTCTTCCAAAGGTCCTGAGTTCAATTCATAGCACCACATGGTGGCTCACGACCATCTGTAATGAGGTCTGGTGCCCTCTTCTGGCCTGCAGGCATACACACAGACAGAATATTGTATACATAATAAATAAATAAATAAATAAATTGCTTCTGTTTGTGTGTGCACACAGGTTTGTGAATATGGAGGCCAGAGGTGGATGTCAGATATCTTTACTGGTTCTCTACCTTAGTTTTTGAGGTAAGTTCTCTCACGCACCACTGATTCAGCTAGACTGGCTAGCCAGCAAGGCCCGTGGAGCCTTCTTCCTCTACCCTTCGAGTTCTAGGGCCATAGGCATGTGCCTTTGCTTTCAACTATTTCTGTGGGTGCTGGGGATCTAAACTCAGTCCTTCATGGTGGCAAGCACCTTCCTGGGCCTAAGCTCCAGCCCCAAGACTTTCCATTTAAAGCAATAAGAAACTTTAGCCACTAAGATTTCAGTGGCAGAGGGAGTGTATTAGACAAGGAGGCCAACCTGGTGTTCAGAGGCTCTAGGGAGATCCTTGGACCATTAGTCGGTCCCCAGGCTGGTGTTTTACAGGTGACCTGCAGGCTAATTTGGTATCGCTGTCTCTTTAAGTGTGAAGGGTGTGAAAAGAGTCAGCTGAAGAATTCCTGAATGGACGAAGGCTTGAGTGGGAGGTGTCAGCCGCGAGGATGTAACTGCGGGCCTGCACTTCCTCTGTGTGTTTTTGGGGAAACCGTGACTGACAAGACGCACAGAAAGGTGGGAGACATGGCGCCGCCCTGCTATGCTAGGCCTCAGATCCCCCGGTGTCACCTAAAAGCCAAAGCTGTCCACGGTGGGAGAGGAAACGTCTTATCGTTCTCCATATGTCCAAGTGTACATATTTCCCATGGCTATAAATAATGAATGGCCAGAATAAAAACAGAAGGCATGGCTGGGGAGAGGGCTCAGAGAGAAAAGTTCTTGCCCCACAAGCCTGGCAACCCGAGACCAGTTCTCAGAACCCAAGAGAAAGACTGGAGGCATGGCGTAATGCTCTAATCCCAGGGCCCCTGTGTTGAGATGGGAGGGAAGCTCGCAGTCCCGGGGCACAGCATGGCAGAAGCGATCAGCTAGCAAGAACCCACTCCTCCAACGTTGTTGACTGACCTGTAGACACAGGCTCACGCACGCACACTAAAAAAAACCAGCAAATTTAGTCTCTCACAGATCTAGAAGGAAGAAATTTAGACTGTGTCCTTCAGACTGCATTCTGCTGGAAGCTGTGATGGAGAAGCTGTGTTCTTTCTTAGCTGAACTTCCTTCCTTGGCTTGCAACCCCCTTCCTTCACTCTCTAAGCCAGCAATGAAGCATCCACCCACCTGTGACCTCAGCCTTCCTCATTACGGCTCCCCTCACTCTGACCCTCCTGCCTCTCTTATACTTTTAGGATCTCATTCAGTAATCGTCTTAACAGCCCCTCATCTAAGCACACCTGCACAAAGGAAACACATTCACGAGTTACAGGAAGTAGAACGTGGATATCATTAGGGGGTCACATTCCGCCTACACGCCAGTGTTTGAATGGGTTATTGCTGTTGCCATGGTGACTTTGGGGGTGGTATTGTTGCACCAGTCAACCACATCAATGCCATTTGCTTTTCTCACGGCTTACATTTCGCTGCCCAGTTCCCCGAGTTTTACAGGTCTGGGGGAACATTGATTGTCAGACCTGGGCCCACTTGGGGATTGTGGTCAGCACACTGCCATTTGTACCTAAGAAAACCAAGAGTTACAATGTCAGGACTCTTGGTTCATTTACCTCGGATTAGAGCACGAGGGTGTCTCAGACTGTGTGAACCCCTCCTCTTCGTTTTATGTGTGAAGGGAGTGAGGTGCACAGGGGCTCACACGGAGGAGGGAAGAGAGGCGGGCCTGGGGGAAGGAAAGACCTGCACGGAGAGTCCTTCTGTGTGGAGGAGGATTCACATGGCCAGTCAGGGGCCCCTGGCTAAGCACGCTGGGCATTTGTCCCCATCTCATTGGGCTCATGACGGGACATTTCTAAAAAGCACAGGAAAAATCAAAAGGTTTCCCTAGTTTGCTCATCTGAGGTAACAGCTGTTTACTGATGCATTTTTAAGAATGACAGAATGGGGTGATCGGATATAAATATGAGGACGAAGACATTGTTCTCTTAGTTTCAGAAACATGATCTGAAGAATATAGCTGAAGTGTGGGAATGTCTTTAGTTTAATTTTTGTTTTGTTTTTGAGACAAGGTCTTGCTGCATGGCCTGATTTCGGATTCTCCTGCCTCTGGCTCCTGTGTGTTGGAGTCACAAGCATTTACCATCAGGCTTGGCTGCTGTTGCATTTGAAAAAAATTTTTTTTTGCTTCAAAGTTTATAGGAAAGTAGATTTCAAGACACTAGGTATCTTAAGCCCTTAGAAAATGACAAGAAGATTTTGATATTTTTCAAACCCTAAAACTGCAGAGAAATCCAAGTTTAGTTGTAAAGTGCTCAGGCTGCAGAAGGGGGGCACAGAACAGGCATAACAGAAACCCAGCATGTCAAGCTGGCCCCTTGGTTTCCCCGAGGGGGGCCACCTGGCCTTGCTTGTCTAGGATGGCGTGACTGATGCACGGCAGACAAACACCTGGGCGTGGGTTAGCTATGGAAACCCAGCACCCGGGCCTATCCTGATGCAGAAGGAAGAACTGAAACTGAATGGTGGCATTCCTGCCTGTCTGGGCTTTGTTTTGGGGTTCCCTGTTCCCGTGGGCCTGGTTTGCTGATTTGTGGCTTATGTTTTATGGGATCTGCTAGTTTCTCCCATAAATCATATCAGGATGCATATTGCTCTGAGTCTTGTCATGTAATTCACTTGTCAGGAGATTTTTTTTTTAGTCTGGAAATATTTAGGGAGGAAAACTAATGAGAGATTATGTTTCTGGCTTGACTTGGAAAACAGTGGACATTTTGCTTCTCCGTAGCCTTGCTATGGAGAAGGGGGGTAAATTATTTTGGGGCCAGGGGTCAGCTTGACACAAGCTGAAGTCATTTGGGAAGAGAGAGCCTCAGTTGAGGAAATGTCTCCATCGGATTGGCCTGAGGGCAGGTCTACGGGGGCATCTTCCTGACTGAAGATCAATGTGGAAGGTCCCAGCCCACTTTGGGTGGTACCATCCCTGGTGCACCTGGGATATATAAGAAAGCAACATGAGGAACAAGCCAGTAAGCCTTGCTCTTCCATGGCCTGTGCTTCAATTCCTGCCTCCAGGTTTTGGCCTTGAGTTCCTGCCCTGATTTTCCTTAGTGGTAGACCGAGACTCTGAAGTGTAAGTTGAATAAACCCTTTCCTTTCCAAAATGCTTTTCATCATATTTTATCATAGCAAGAGAAGGAAAGCACCCGTGACACAGAGCTCTTGTGAGATCCTCTGGACACCATGGAGGTTAGGGGACACGGACATAGTGAACGCCAGAGTCAATGTCTGACCATGGCCCTAAGCACCTACAAGACAGAAGCTGCCATCGTGTGGAGACCAGGATGGGCTTCAGACTTGACTGGCTAGTCAAGTCACGAGGAGATGAGGATATGGCAGCTCTCTCAGAAGTTGCACATGGGACGGTGGCAGCAGTGAGTAGCGCGGATTTCGTAATTCTTCACCGTTCTCTTGAAGCACTCCGATTTGTCCTCCGTGCAGCCTTTCACTGAATACCACTGGACCCCACCTGAAGGAAGGAACGATGCTGAGATGGGTGGGTGCCACCTACCTGGCCTGGCGGGCGCTACACAGTCAACACGTAACAATAGAAGACCAAGTACAATCTCCAGCTGCACCCAGACACGAATCTAGACTTCCTACCATGAGGAGTGGCGTCCTCACCTGCTGAAGAACCCCTGGGTAAACTATCTGAACTGGGGACTTTGTAGTACACATGCTTCAGAACTGTAGAACAACCACAGCTTTCTGCTGGCAACGGCTATCGTCTAGGCATTTTTCACTGTGATAGCTGTGGGCGAGCTTGCATATAACCACTCCTCAGCATCACTAAGGTCTGTCACCCAATTGAAAGGCCACACCTGCACCAGGGTACTCTAGCAAGTGCTTCCTAAAGATGGAATCTTATCATACAGAACGTCACTATTTTTCTGGGTTTTGTTTGTTTCGTTTTGAGGCTGGGCCTAGCTATGTAAAGTAGGCTGGCCCTCAGTTCTTAATCCTCCCACTTCAACCTTTCGGGTTCTAGGAGTTCCTAAGTTTGTACCACCATACCCGGCTTTTCCTTCTTGGTGAAATCACTGTAGAACACAGACAAATGGACAACGTGAAAAGCAAGTTCCAGTAGTTCCACAGCCCTACTACCCCAAGCTTCAGATGTGCCCAGAGGACTAATGAGCATCCTCAGAGCAACAAAGACAAAAGTGCTTTCTCAGCACAGCTGTTTCTGCTTCCCCAAGCCCAGGATGTCAGCAGTCGCTCAGAGACTTCTGCTATTACAGCTGGATACAGCAACAGGGGCCATCTGTTCTGGGCATCTAAGAAGAAAAAGGACTAGGGATGTTGCTGTCCATTTCATAATAGAAGATGTACCCAAGCTTCTCACTACCCTGGCCTGGGACAAGACACCTGGGTAAGTTGAAAAACCAAAAGTTTGTTTGGGCTCACAATTTCAAAAGTCTCAGCCCACGGTTTCTTGGCAATGTTGCTTTTTGGTCTGTGGTTAACAATCTTGTAGTGGGAAGAGCTTCGCCAAGAAAGCCACATACCTCATGGTGTCCAGGAAACAAAAAGGAGAAGGCTGGGAACTCAATGTTCCCTTCAGTAGCACGTGTCCCGGGACATAACTTCCTTCTCCTCGGCTCTGCCTCCTAAAGTTCCACTATTTCCCAACCACACTAAAAGTTCCAGCATTTCCTGGATGTGCTAAAGGCTCGTGATCAAGCCTATAAGACATGGGCCTTTAGAAGACATTCAAGATTCAAGCCTTAGCAATTGTCCCCACAAGGCACCAATCTTCCACAAGTGCCACCATTGGCAATGCTGAGAAGCTATTGATAAAGCCACATTAGAATGTAACTTTATGTAACTTTCAATTCTGTTTAATTTAGTTTAATTCAGTTCAGTGGGAAATGGTAAAAAAAATTCCAGGATACTGAACTCTGTTCATATAGCATGGCCATTCCAGGCCATTGATTCGCCGTAGGAGGTGGTCGGTATTTTTCTAGGCAAGCTTTCAGGCTTTAGTCCATGCACAGAATCCCTTAATTCTTACGCTGATGTCAATATGAGTGCTCACAATTCAAGAGTAGAAGAGCAATGCCTGAGAACCAATGTCCTTGGCTCAGAGGGGCTTTGGGACCTTTCTCCATCAATAATAGACTTTGAATAGCAAAGTTCAAAGTTACAGGGCAGAGCCCAGAAGTTTCTTAATACCAACTAATCCCCTTGAGGTGGAAAATGTGGCTCTTCCTCTCTCTTGCATAACTTCAATGACCTCTGATTTTTGTTCTTTCCTTCCAACTCCATGAAGTATTGCTTTGCTGATTTCTATTTATATGTAGACTACTATGTGTATCAATTTGTATTTGATTTCATCCCATTTGACAACAATTTAGATATTTACCCATATTAGCAAGTAACTGTGGAAGACGCTACATAGCAGACAGCATTACATGGTTTGGAGACAACACAGTCCAACTACTTCCTGTATGTAAGCTTGTAGGTCGTTTATTAAAAGAATATTTTGCCATTATTTACTTAGTGTGTGTATGTGTGTGTGTGCAATTATCCTTTATATAATAAGGCATATTCATTATCAGTCTTATGTGCTAAACATGTTATATTTTCCTTTTTTTTTTTTAAGATGTCTACAACATTCTGCCTCCATGTATGCCCGCACGCCAGAAGAGGGCACCAAATCTCATTACAGATGGTTGTGAGCCACCATATGGTTGCTGGGAATTGAACTCAGGACCTTTGGAAGAGCAGCCAGTGCTCTTAACCGCTGAGCCATCTCTCCAGCCCCATGTTATATTTTTCTATACTTTACATTGCCTTGATTTTTGCTAGCAAGGTTAAACTGCTCTTTTGTTTGCTTCCATGTTGGTGTTTTCTGTGCCAAGGACTGCATTCATGTTTTATTTTTTTCCTGATAGTTGGTCTTGTGTGTGTGTGTGTGTTGTATATTTAGCATGCAGTATGTGTTCTTGTAGGTGTGTGTCTGTGTGCATGTCTGTGTGCATGCGTGTGTGCATGTGTGTGAGAGATTGGTGTCAGGTTTCTTTCTTCAGTTGCTCTCTATCTTAGTCTGGGATGCTGGATCTTTTTCTGGGTTTGAAGCTCACTGATTCAGCCAGGCTGACTGGCCAATGAGTTTCATGGATCTGCCTGACTTTGACCCTAGTGGGATACAGGCACACACTACCAGGCCTGTCTTTTTTTACTTGGACTCCTGGGATCTGAATTCATCTCTCCATGCAGTTGGCTGAACCATCTACCCAGTCCCTAACTCATCTTCTAAAATAAGATTTTTTTGGAAGCTCCTTATTTTTCTGGACAGATAATAATGTTTTTCTGTAATCTATTTTTATTATTTCCAGCTAACTAGTTCTTTGGTCTTTTACATTTGCTTATCATTTAACATGGTCATTTATTTTACAAATCACAAAATATAGACACATTCAAATCAATTGTATTCTTTTTGACTTTTGGGTTTTGGATGTAAAGGGGCCTCCTCTCTTTCAAACTTAGAATGTGCTCACCAGCATTTTCTTCTGATTTGGTTTTTGTGTTTAACATGGAATCTGGGCAGTTGCACAGGAGCCTGCATTTAGAAAACTCTGTAAATAATCTATTAATGCTTTCTGAGATGTGAATGCTGTGAATGAGGCTACATGTAGATTTATTAATATTTGGGGACTCAAGATACTTGTATTTGAATTATGGCTACTATACTCACTTACTAGAAACTTTGTAAAAAATTATTTAGCCTTTATGTACCTCCAATTTTTCATTAAAAATAGAGATAATTGAGAGATAACCCAGAGGTCTTGCTGAAGACCCAGTTAGGGTTCCCAGTACTCAGAGGGTGGCCCTGTAACTCCAGTTCCAGAGGATCCAGTGCCCTCTTCTGGCCTTCAGAAGCTGCTTCTGAACCTATGCACGCATACACATATAAATGTATGAGTAATATGTAAATACTCCTTTAAAATGGAGATAATGAGTTATGGACATAGCTCCGTTTGGTGAGCACTTGCCATCTGTATAGTCTTGGCTTCAAGCTCCAGCACTCAAAAAATAAGAAAACTGAGTGAGGGGATTTGGGTAGGGGGATTAATGATGGGATCCATCCAGGTCATATTATTGCATGACTGAAGCAATGTAGTCCTGGCCAAACCTCAGTATAACATCGGGCATACAGCCGGTGTTAGCAAATGATAAAGGGATTGCCTCTGCACTTCTACATAGCAAGACTTACCTTTAGCAAGGCTCTCTTTTATACAAAACTGACCGGGCTTTGTTCTGCAGGTTCCAAGGTCTAACAGACATCCATGGAACGGGATGGAGAGATTGCACGACCTGCAAATCACACCTCCGACGTCTCCAAGGACAGCGAAGAAGGGGGCAATTGCGATGGAGACCAGAGCGAATGAGCAGAGCAAAAGAGAAGAGGAGAGAGGGACCGAAATATATCAGCAATTTTTAACGTTAAAGAATAAGAAATGCTTAAAAATTTTATTATAAAAATCCACATAAATTAAGATTATTTCAGTTTGTATATTTAATGAGGGAGGTTCAAAGCACATGCTACATTAATGAATCAGAAGCCCTCTGAACTGACAGGAATCGGAAATGAGGACACTTTCTTGGTGCCTAACTAAAACCTGGATTTCACCAGCCACATACCCAGAGTTAGGTCATTTCCAAGCTCAGGTAGCATGTTATACACGTGAATATTCATTACTTGATTAATACATACCAATCTGTTATCTTCAGTACTCAAATTCAGTTGTTCAGCCACGTGGCTCAATTGATTACGTACAACAATCTCAGAGGTTTTTGGACATAGACAGCATCTCGAACATTAGTTCCCGGTTTCCGAGTGCATCAGATGAAGGTGAGTGGCTAAAATAGATTTCTGTGCGTCCAGAAGACTTGAACTACAACATGGGAGGCTGAGTTCACGAACCTTCACTTCAGATGTGCAGTGCTAGTTGACGGGATAGAACTTGGACACGGATGTAAGGTCTGTCTGTTCAGAAATTTTCGATGATGGCTCCAGCAGGGAGCCTTGGTCATGACAGAACGCTTGTTACTGTTAATGACCCAGGCAGTTCAAAGACACAAATTGTCCTCATGTTCATACTTTCCCTTTCTACATTCTTCCTTCTTTCCTCCTTCCTTCCTTTCATTTTGTTTTATGTTTGTTTGCGGTTTTTCTTTTCTTTTTAAAGATAGGTCTCACTGTGTAGTCTTGGCAGGTCTGGAATGTGCTCAGTAGATCAGGATGGCCTTGAACTCACAGAGACCTTGTTGCCTCTGCCTGCTGGGATTAAAGGCGTGCACCACCACACCTGGCATTTCCTCCTCTTTCAACATATAATCCCCACAGCCAAGGTGCTTTTATTTACTAGTAATTCATGTAAGAATTTAGGAGACGTGTGGTGCAATGCATTTTTTATCTTTCTTTGCTACAACTAAGGTGACTTTCAATAGAAGGCGGTCTGGGTAATGGGACCTTATAGTCACGTGAATTAACAAATATGTTTTTGTGTGGCTGTGCATGCAATAACAACTGAAGCCATGAATTTGAAGGAGAATGGGAACAGGTGTACAGGAGAGCATGGAGGGAGGGAAGGGAGGGGAAATGTTGTATTTAAAATACAGTCTCAGAACTAAACAGCCACCACAGCAAAAGAGTGACGTTTACACCTAGAAATCTGCTAAGCAATTTACACACAATAGCCCAGTTATTTTTAATACAATGTTTGCTTCAGCCAGAAATTATATGTGTGCCAATATCGCCCTTGAAATAAATCTTAATAGCTTTCGTAAGTGGAAGAAATGGAGACAAAAAGCTTCTTTGAAACCTAAGCCCTCGTCCTTGGCGGTCGCTCTGAGACCCTGAAGCTGCCAGTCTTTCATGTGTCTCCATCCTTCCTTCTTCTGCTAAAGAACTTGGTTCTTCTGGCTGAGGGTCAGGGGCTGGATGGATTACTGGGCCAACCGCTTTTCAGGGAATCCCTGAGGGAGTTCTCTTCTTGGGTCTGTCATCATCACCTAGTCTTACAGCCCACTCATAGAGACCCACCTCATTCTTCAGCCCTTCTTTTAAACCATAGGAGGGACTAAGATGGGTGCCCTTATGACTACCAACAAGAACACGCCTTTTGATGGCAATTTTTATCCACTTGTCCTCACATCTTCCTCTGTGTATAGAAGAAGTAATGCAAGCCTCTGAGTTATTTAAAAAACGAGGGTGTTTTGTTGATATTTAATTAGCACACAAAGATATGGCTTTCTTTATATGTCTATCAGTGTACCCTGTTCATATTCACCTCCTCATTACCTCGACTCCCATCCCTTCTAACTGGTCCTCTTTTTCTCAAATGGTCTATTTCTCTCTGTCTCTGCCTCCCCCGCCCCCCCCCCCACAGAGTGTAAAAATCTAGAATCTAAATATGAGGAATCCTATAAGCTATTTGTTGTGGGTCTGGTTTATTTTTCTTAACTCCATAATCTCCAGCACCATCTTAGTTTTCATGATATCCAAGTCACGGAAGATGTTTTCTCGTGCCGTTTCACCTTTCTTACGCGCCTCTCCTTTCCGGAAGAGATGTCTAAGTAGAAGATGCAGCCCAGACCTGAGCTGTGTCCTGCATTTAATGAGAAGTGTAGGAAAAGAAGGTCTGTGCTGCGTTTTCCACTTTGACAACTCTTCCCTACTCGGTTTGCTAATGCAGGTTCTTCCTCTATAAAATGAGAATACAAGCGCCTGATGTCTAGTGCGGAGTAAACCAATCAATACACATGAACCTTCAGGACTGAGTCTGCTCACTGAATGTCCAGACTAAGGTCTTCTGTCCGCATCCAGAGTCTCACAGCGCCTCGCAGAGAGAGAAGGTAATTAACCCAAGAGGAGGTTTAGAGGGAGCAAGAGCAGGCAGCTTCTACCATCGTACTTCCCCAGCCACCTCCCTTATGTCCGCTCTCCACTCAGGCAGATGGCAGTATCTTCATTTTCTTAACCAGCCGTCCCTCTGTCTGACTCTTCCTTTATCATGACTTACCACTGAACAGGCAGGATAGGATAAAAACCCCAGCAATGGCAGTCCTCATTCTTAGGTTCGCAGGCCAAAGAAAGGTAGAAGGAAAGACAAGTCCAACCATCACCTCTTTCTGCGGAAGACAGACAAGCACATGGTAGCCATTTAAAGGGAAGATACTGGCTAAATCGCTTTTTTTTTCCCATTAAATTAAGGGCATCCTTCTTTATAAAAATAACTGTAAAGCCATTTCTAGTTCTGAAATTTAGATTTTTTTTAAATCAATGCTGCCATCTCTCTTTGCTTTCCTCTTAATTACAGTTGCTTCAGGCAAAATATGAAGTGGGGTCAGTGAAGTTTCTAGGTTAATGTCTTCAAAAATCCTTCTGCTGTTCAAAGGGAAATAAATGTTCCTCTCAGCTTCAGGGACTGAAGCTCACCACAAATGGTCCTAGGCAGGAGGGGAGGCCACGTGATAGCAACGGTGGTGATCATTAAGTCATCAGAATGGCTTAAGATGTTACTAGTCACCCACACCTACCTCTTGCGTGGCGATTTTTCTTGTCTACACCTCTTAAAATGCCTGATCACAGTTTTTAGTGAGTGAGACGCGCTGTAACTGAATCCAACAGCCTGATCCTCTAGGTTCTAAGCAGTTGAAACTGTAACAGATGCCCACGCAAGAACATTCCGGAATTGCCCTTGAGCGCCCTCATCTCGATGGAGTGTGTTCTCCTTAGTCAGGAACTGTACCAAGGCTGAGTCAGCCTACTCACTGTAAAGGGGCCTGGCATTTTCTATAAATTATACAGGTTGGACACCCGCATGTGTGGTCCCACCACTTAGTGTATAAAGCACTCGGCTTTCCTTTTGCGGGGGGGGGGGGGATGCTTGCTGGGGTTTAAAACCAGGGCCACACCCACGCTTATCATGTCCCTACCCACTCAGCTGCACTGGGAAGCCTGATTTTGATGTCTCTGAAAAAAAAAAAAAAAAAACCAGGGAATCCTTAGATCGAAAATTTGACCAAATTACAAAAGCATTTGAGTTTAAAGGTAATGTTTATTGTTAGCTAACGTACAGGTTGGAATCAGTAGATTCTTCTGGAAACAAATGAAAGTTTTAAGAACACCAGAGTCTCTTTGACAATGCCGCCACCAAACCCCATGCTGTTCTCATAAGTAAGTAACCCCATTATGAGGATGCCAGGTGTTCCTCAGCAAATTATATCCCACGGCTTATCCAGATGGACTCCTTTTCTGCGCATCTTCATCATTTCCTTGTAGCAACGAAATGTGTACCACATTGCTTCTAGGGTTATCTTTGTAAAGATAATACGCCCTGCTTACTTTTCCTTTGAATTTCATTTGAAAATATTACTACAACCTTCTTATGTCAACTTTAAGAATCTACTTCAAAATTCCCACTGATTTGAATCTTAGAAGCAAGGGAATGAAAAAAAAATACTAGCTACTGAAGAGTTCATAAAAACACAAATATTGGGTGTGTGGCTGAATGACCAGCAATCACCTTTGCATGGGTGTGGGTGGTCACTACTCAGATCAAAAATGCTGCATTTTCTTCTGTCTCAGAGGTCTGCTTATACTCTCTTCTAGTTATTATTATCTCCAGCTATTATTTTCAGAAATAATCACTATCCCTTTTAAAAATACTATTGGTTAACAGTACCTGATCTTGAAATTTATAGGTCCACACAGCAAATACTGTTACTGATGCGGGTATTGTCATTTTGTATGTAGCATCATGTTTAACTCATCTGATAATAATGTCTATCTCTAAATTCCAAGACACCGGGTGGTCACTTTCTGAGGCCTAACACTCTATATTGTTTTTCTTGCTTTCACTAAAAAAAGTGTGTGTGTGTATATATTAATAAAGATCTTGAGTCAGACTTAGGGATAACAGTAGCATGAAGCTCATGCAGATTTTGTGAAGATCAAAAGAGAATGGCCTTGGGCAAAGAGTTCTTTCCACACAGTGCCTGCTGGGTCATGAGGAGCTGGCCAAGCCTGGGCTATGGGTGCTGTGATGGTGACCAGGGCTCAAATAGTTTATCTTTTACATAAAAATGTGTTGGTACTTTCCTACGCATGGGAAAGCAAACCTACTCTCCAGGAGCTAAATGAGCATGATTTTGAAATTTCCAACAAATTGTCTTGCTTAAAAAAGTTAGAAAATCCAATTATCCTTAAAGGAAAGGATATTTGGTGCCATATGTCTCTAAAAATAGACTGGTGCCTGATACCAGAGTTTATATTGGGGGGCTAGGGTTTACTTATAGAATAAGCGAATGATTTCACCTTCATTCAAGGAAATACATTTCTGATGCCAGCTCATTAAGGCCAGAGAACAATTTATAATGACAAACTAAAGGAAAACTTGAAAAGGAAGCAGAAGAGAGTATCATCAATTCAAAGCATTTTGTAGTCAAGCCCCCATGGTAAGTTCTAGAACCTAAAAATGGGCACGACAAATTGTGCACTGAATGGGCATGGCTGTCCTGGAAAACATTTGTGGATGCTCCTCAAAGGGCTATTGAAGGTTAATGTCTTTTTGCCATTGAGTCTATTCCTAAGAATTTGCTCTGATGATTGAACAAACATAAGAATACCATGACCCAAACCAGTACCAATAAAGGGTCCCAAATGGTGAGGTATTGAATGGGAGGCCTGGGGAGGAGAAATAAAGAAGACAAAAGCAATATCTGGGGCCAAGAGATCTTGCTAATGAAATTAGTAAGTAATTAGCTAATAAGCTAATGACTTATGCCAAGCAAGTTTGTTAAGAAGTACAGGATCATATACACACTATTTACAGTGGGCAGAGGGAGCAAGGAGAGGTTAGCAGAGAGCTAAATCAGACAGTCTTGGCAAAGAGCATGGGATACCTCAGACACAGCTGCCCTAGGACTGATCAGCACAGCTCAGGAGGAAGTATTAGGTCCTCAGAAGCCACAACACTGACTCCTATGAGGCATTGGCTCCACCTTCAGTCTGACCTTGCCAAGTCCATTCCTGGACAAGGACACAGAATTAAAGTTTCTTTTTGTTGAAATAAGTGCGGTGGGGCTTCGTTCCCAGCACCCTGGCCGCCTGCTAGCTCATGCCCGAAATAACAACACACAAATTGTATTCTTTTAAACACTGCTTGCCCATTATATCTAGCCTCTTCTCGGCTAACTCTTGCACCTGGACTAGCGCATTTCTAATAATGTGTGTAAGCACCCCAAGGTGCGCTTACCTGGAAGATTCTAGCCTACGTCCATCCTGAGTCGGAGCTTCATCACATGTGTCTCTGAGAGCAGAGCTATCTCATGTCTGTCTGAGGAGTCTTACCTCACTTCCTCTTCCTCCTGTTTACTCCTCCCACCTATGTTTTAACCTATCAGGGCAAGCAGTTTCTTTATTTAATTAACCAATGAAATCAAACAGATTGATATATGACACTCCCACATCATCTTTTGTCATTTTTGTCAGAGCCTCTAAGAAACTCTTGGGTTAGTCTGGTCCCTCACAGTACAACAACCCAAATATAGGCCAATTATCAAGTGAAGGATCATGAGGTCACATGGTTGGTTGGAAGCTTTGCAGTGGGTCAATCAAGATCTGATGAAGACTGGAAGGGGGAGGAAGCAGAGAGAATAGCAAAGAGGCAGTAGGAAAGAGAAGTGCAGGGACCAAAGGCTCCCCAGGGTCTAGGGCTCCCTGTCTTCACCCTGGAGATCTGTGGGCAGCTAGGACTAGCCTCTCCTATACTTGCTACTTAACACATTACAAGACTTCTCTCTCTAGTAAGAGACTCAGTGAAGAGATGTCCTGCCATCTCCTGCTTCTTGCAAGAAGCTTGGAGCAGTGGACGCTTGCTAGGGAGGGGAGCTGCCTTTCCTGGGCACAGTTAGGGAAGTGAATCCCAGATGACCTTGGATTGGCTGAAGGTTGTAGGAAGGTGGTGGAGGAGCTATGTGGAAAGTAAGGAAGGCAAGGCTTGTTTTGGGTTGCACATGGGGAGAAGGACAAAAGCAGGAGTGAAGGCTGCCTTAGGGGTTTTCACTTGGGCAATTGGGCAGTTTACTATGACATTAACCGAAAAAATGAGGTCAAGTGAGAAATAAATTTGATAGGAAATTTATGAGCTCCGTTTGAAAAGGTTTCAAGTAAAGACATCAAGTATCAGGTGGCTGTGAGTCTCAATTGTAAAAAAGAAGTCAGCACTAGCTTTTAAGCCCATGTGTTTCTTGAAGCATGTATATGAGACTCAAGGAAACTGCCTACGGATGCTTATACAACAGAGGGGGAATGAATTTTTCTTACAGAATAGCAAGCTATCGGTTCAGACACTCTCGTTGGCTACACGACCCTTAAATATCATCAATGGAAAAACACAAAGTTTGGCAATGATCAAAATGAAGCTTCTGTGAAACCAATGGACATATGGTGAGATGAAGAATACAGAGGGGCCCGGGGGCCTCTCCAGATCTCCACACTTCTTGTGTTGACTGTTATGGACTGAATATATTTGTCTCCCTCAAATTCACGTTTTGAAACCCTAAGCCTAAGTATGGCTGCAGTCTGAGACAGGCATTTACAGAGGCAACTAAGTCCTACATCCTGAGCAGGTATTGCAGTGAACAGTCCTACAGTCTGAGCTGGTGATGCAGTGAACAGTTGTCCTACAGACTGAGCAGGTGATGCAGGGAACAGTTGTCCTACAGTTTGAGCAGGTGATAGTCCTACAGTGTGAGCAGGCGATGCAGCAAACAGTCCTGTGTGCTCTCATATATTAAAGTTACTGGGTAAGTGTGGCCTTAAGTTTGGAGGCACGAAGGGGATTGGAGATGAAGTGTTAGGTCAGTACTAGACACGAATGAACTAAAGAGTACCTCGTTTAGATGGAGAGCACAGAAGGGCTGTGTCCTTGGTGAGCTGGTGAGCTAGAAAAAGAAAAGCTATCCCTTAGAGAAGAGCATCATCCATGGTGCTGGAGAGACTGTTAGAAAGCAGATGGCCACACCCCCAAATTAACTATGCAAATTAACTAGACCTAAAGTCTATGCATCTCAGTAAACTTCTGTACAATTAGAGTAGCCATTTTGAAGCTGTGGCGCTCCGTGTTAAATTTTATACTTTTGATATCTTTAAAAAAAATCTAATTTTAGTGCATGATTTTTAAAAATTTGTAAGTTCTTTACAATATATTGTGTGTGTGTGTGTGTGTATGTGTGTGTGTGTTTGAGACAGGGTTTCTTCATGTAGCCATGGCTGTCCTGGAACTAGCTCTGCAGACCAGGCTGGCCTCAAACTCACAGAGATCTGCTTGCCTCTGTCTCCTGAGTGCTGGGATTAAAAGCATGTGCCACCACCACCTGGCCTACAATAAACTTTTAATAATAAAAATAAAGCAAATGATAGCCTCTGCAAGACAGACAGAAATAATAGCAACACAATGCCATGTATTTCCCCCTAAAAATTTCTTCAATAGACTTGGCTTCATCTATATTATTTTCATAATTTTTAGAAATATAGAGAAAGAATTGAAGTTTAAAATCAACTGCAAGACCCAGGCACAGGCTTGTAATCCTAGCACTTGGCCGGCAGTTGCAAGAGGCTCTCAAGTTTAATTAAGATCAGCCTGGGCCATACAAGATTCAGTCTAAAAAACAAATCCAAAGAGGGAGAAAGTAAAAAAGACTGTGGGA